CTCATAGTCGTGCATGCCGTAGTCGTTAGACCATTGGCCTCGCGTCCCTACAAAGCCGGGACGGAGCACGCCGGGTTCTCGCCGGACCAGGCTCTCACATCACCAAGCGCAGAGCGCCGTGAGATATTCGGCGAGTCGCGTGAAGGGTGCGCTGCATCCTGCTAAGGGTGTTCGGTATCTTGTGCTTGCTTCGTTGCGTACGCATGACAGCTGGGTATGACTTAATATATTTTCTGGTTCTTTCACTTCCAGAGACAGTTGTAAGCACTGTGTAACTGCATCGAGGGTGCTTGACCATCTAAACACAACGTTGTGCGATCATCCTCCTTGCGCGGAGTGAGGGTTATCGACCCCGCACAACATGATCTACTCGACCACCATTATGGTTACCGCCAAAAAAAAAAGAGGTAAAAAAAAAGCAAACGGTAACCTGGTTGCCAAATTCACGAAGTGAATTGGCTTGTTTTACAACGTCGTCGCCAAGCGACGACAACACAATCCCGAGGACAAACACCGATGGGGGCATTGCACGACTCAGCGAGTGGGTGTTCTGGACAATAGCTAGACAGTCAGGCACGAATCATGGAGAAAGAGCCAAAAAAAAAACCGGGAAACAACCCACAGGAGGTACCGAGGTGCTGGGCAAGAAAAGGGTTGTTGGTTGTTGGAGCAAGTGCCCGAGCCATAAAAACTACGATTCCGACAACTGACAGCGGTCGCACAACAACACACACTGCTGCTGGGGTAAACACGAAATATTGTGATGCACTCATCTCGACATGGGTAGGTCTTTGAGAAAGCAAGGAGAATCTTAGATTCACGATTAACAACTCTCTAAACCGGTGTGCAAGACAAGAGATGCTGTTCTTCGGATGTCCTTCCCCCCCAGCCGGCAAGACACTGGACCGCTCGCTCCTTGGTCTAGCTGGGCTTCAAGGCCAACAAGTCTTTTCTTTTTTTGATGCGATTCCAAGGGTGGAACGCAGGCGCGAAAAAACATCCAGATTTTTCCCCAGAAAGATTGCTGTCGCACCGCACGCGTTTTCCATGTGTCAACGCCATTACATGCCTGGGGTTTCCAACAAACGGCAGTACCATGCTTGGTTTATGGGAAACGCACAGATGCTGCTGCCCAGCGTCTTTTCAGTTTTATTTGGGAACACAAGCCCGACCGTTGAACTTTGCTACACAAGTATATCACTACGAAGCTCAAGCACCCAATAACAGCCACAAGACCGAAACCTTGAAATCGCTACAAGGTGTTCTCCATTGCACGTAAAATGTCCGATAATGCTAGATACGGTAATCCATTGGGCGTCACAAGCACCCAAGACAGTTTCCTCACTGTAGCTGGCGAGGGTGTTCTGGTCCTCCTTCATGACGCGGCCCTTGTAGATGAGCCTCTGCAGCTCCGGCGCCACCCCCGCCTTCTCGGAGATCTTCTGCTTGAAAGCGAGGACAGTCGCCTCCGTGTCCACCTGCATCCGCACGAAACCACCGCAGGGGCAACAACGACGACGACAAGAGACTCAGCATAGCTTAAGTATCCAGCCGGATTTTTCTGCCACTCACTATTGGTGTCAAGATTTCAACAGGTCCCTTCGACTACGTTGATTGTCTTTCCTTCAACGAACGAGGACCATCAATACATCGCACAAAAGTGGAAGGGGACAGCAGTGCACAGCGGACAAAACGAAGTAGATGGATTGGACCACTCCAGACGAAGGCAAATATGCATGAGCGAGCTCTGGTGTCTTGTACTTCGAAGTATTTGTTTTCCGGTACAACAGGGCATCCTCATGAGGCAAGGTTATGCTCACATCACGAGCTTCTCACTTGCTTGCTGAAGCGACGAAGTCTTTCAACGTAGCCTGTATGTATCATCACCATCATTCTGTATGTAGGCGCTTGCATACTTATGGCACACAGCACGCGACCGTCTGGCACGTGCAGCAAAGAGGCTCTCTCCTTGCGTATGGATCAGTGCTAGGGTTCTACGACTACTGCTGAAGATGATTGCATGCGGCTGTGTGGTTCGACAAACAGGGTGATTGTCTGTTTAGTGTGAGATTCTTGCTCATGTTTCCAGAACAACTTGGTTGCGGGAAAAAACGACGACCCGAGTCACCATATCCGAACGCGCCGGGGGTGTGAAGGCCTGCTCGTCACAGGCATTATCTGATCCCATCTTTCATATCTTCCATACATACACCCCGTTGAAACCCTGTTGCGCGTGTGTGTATGCTACATACTACCAGATAGAGTTGAGAGCTAGAGAACAATGTGGCGCCCTCTCCTCCGTCCGCACCGCCGTGCAACTCCACGTTATCTCCCTCGTCGGCACCAACAGTTGAAAAACACGTCTTGGGCATTGTAAGTGCATGGGTCTCTCAAAGCACTGGACACTGCAGCAGCAGCCGGTACCGAACAAGGTACAAGAGTAGCACCCAGAGTTGCGCTTGGTGGAAGCTCGGTTGCTGTTGTCAACCGAAAGGAGCGAGGTTTGTTGTGGACAAGGAGTCAAGATTTTCGAAAGAGGTCGTCAGATTCGTCGGAAAGTCTTGTTTTGTGCTGCCGCCTGTATTTTCTAGAGACAACGTCAACAGAGTGACTATTTAAGCCGTGTGATCCACAGAAGAGACTTCGAGCTCTCGACCGCCAAACAGCGCAGGGCAATGGCACACTGGGGGGTCTCCCTCACCTCTGTGGTGAACTTCTCTCCGTTGGAACACCGAACGTTTACTGAGACCTCCGGCATGTTGACGACGATGCTGCTGTGTCCTTGATGATACTCCTGGAGAGGTCGTGAAGGCTAAAAGTTTATGATTGAAGTCGGGATTGGGAGACAAAGAGAAGAAGTTGACGCAACAAGCAGCGATTGCAAACGGTTTTGAGCTTGTCACAAGTGGCGTTGACACGACGCTAAAGCTAGCTAGCGCGGGCTACAACGGATTGAATTCAGCAGAGGAGGTGGCGGCAGCAGCACCAGTAGCAACGAGCTGAACAGCATGGCAGACTTCGGGACGGACGTCCTAATGAGGAAGCTCTTTCTGTCGGGGCAATGGAACGCGCCGCGGGTTCGCTTCTCACCTCTCGTTCGTGTACACCGACAGCGGTATAAAGCTTGAGGTCCGAGGGCTGGCTGTGGAGGGAGCGTGAGAGGTAGAGGGGTGGTAAGCTCTCGGGGTGTGAGCAGGCCAGGTACCCGGGAGTGGGACAGAGATTTCTACCGAAGCCTGGGGGCTAACCCACAAAATGCGTGTATGCTACATTCTTGGTTGCGTGCCCCCCCTCAACTTGTTCAAGAGAGTGCTGCTGGTCGGGGCATCTCCAACGAGCAGAGAGAGAGAGAGAGAGAGAGAGAGGGATCGAGGCAAGTCGCAAACAACCATGGCTAACTTCGCGACGCTGGATAGCCTGAAGAAAGGCGACGAGGAGGAGAAGAAAGGAAACGCATACTACGCCGGTGGGGCGAGGGGCGCGGGCCGGGGCGGAAGGTTCGTCTCTAAAACCGGTACAAATGGGGAGGGAATCTATCCTTGGAAGCACGATGCACCACAGGCGATGAGAATATTCTCGCAGCAAGGCTTGTGCGCTAGTAGCGTGGAAGCAGAGCTTCTGCCGCGAACGCGGTGATCCAAGCTCAATCCTGTGTTATTCAACCCTGGAGATTATTTTGAGCAGAGGGCATGTGTGCAGAGCAGAGGACGACTGATTGTCAAAGATAATCAGAGAACGGGAGCACATTCCGCCGCATGAGGGACATGGGGCATGTTTTGTCAGTCCAGAACAACCTCTGCTGTTGGGGGGGGGGGNGGGGGGGGGGGGGGGGGGGGGGGGGGGGGGGGGGGGGGGGGGGGGATGATATTGTCCGCACTCAGGAGAGGTTTCAGCCCATGTTGAGTTTTTTTGTATGTCCATGCTGATCATATTTGTGTCGATGATGATCTTTCTCCATGCACGCATATACAAAGATGCAAATCAGCTCAACCCCGAGAGGGGGCAATACTGAGACCGGTACAGTAACCAGTAACCATTCCAAGCAAGACTCTCGACGGCTGTATCTTTGCCAGCAGGCCACCCTTTTCGACGCTTGAAACCCTCTTGTGCTTGTGAAAAAACAATCGAGCTCTTGGGTCGGTCTGTAGTTTGTAAGTGGCCACGGACGTTCATCCTTTTCGTATTTTAGTTCTCCAACCCGGACGGCATCATCACGTTGTTGCAGCTTTGTGCTGCGCCTGTGAAGGCAGAGAGAGCGACAAGGAGCGGCTGGCTTCGCCGCAGTCTGGAAGTCGCCAGGTCATCGTGTAGAATACATCAATAGATCTGTATGGCAACCAGACGTGCCAAGCAGCAGTGAACGACGCTTTGCGAATCAGTCCGGTTGGCGTAGCAGTGTGACGACAAGCAGAATAGGTGGTTGTCCGACCTAGCCCTCCGCCCTTGTTTTCAGGTGATGTGATTGGCTGGGCTGCCACGGGACTTCTACGATTCTGCAAGACCGCTTCCAGACTCTGGTTCTCTCTGGTTCAAACTCTCGAAGCATTGGTAGTTCCAGCGGTTTGCTCCCACTCCCTGTATAACACATCCCCTTTTTCGACTGCGGTGGTAATATCTCGATCGGGTAGTCTTGGTATGCGTTTTGGTATACGCATATGGTTTCTCAAGTATATCTGATTCCTGCTGCTGCTGCTGTTGCTGTTGCTGTGATGATAATCCTTGGTGTTTCACCCTACTCTATGCTGTTTATGCCACACGCCTCTGCAGCGGGCTAAACGTGATGGGCCCTCCGCCCGATGGCGAGGGGGGGGGAGAGAGAGGAAACGGCGACCCCCACGTTCAAGAGATATTCCGCCGCGCCGAGACCGGGTGAGTTCTTTGGTTGTTTTAGTTTTGTTTCTTTTCACTTTCGTCGCGACGTTTGGAAGCCTCACACAGAACCAGCGGGGTGTGGAGGGAAGGGTCTCACAGAAAGCATGAGAGAGTGCAGCAGTGTGGTAATGGTCGATCGTTCTGGTGTTGAGTCACGGCCGTGAGGAGTCTCGCATGAGGGCGTGCAGCAGTGTGGTGGTGGTCGATGCTGGCGAGAGTCCAAGCAGTCCAAGGTCTCGCAGAGCATGATGGCGTGCAGCAGTGTGGTGATGGTCGATGCGATCTTGCGCTGAAACCAGCAGTAGTAGACAGTTTGTACGTGCGTCGCGCGTTTGCCTCTTGTCGCTGTTCGGCTTGTTGGCCGGGTGAGGAGCATGTCGGAGAGTAGCGGCTGAACGAGTCTGATGCAGGAAAATCCGTTCGCTGTCGACAGAGTGTTGTTTGCTTTTTGCGCATGACGTGGTGAGAAGGCGTTTCGCGTGCGAACAAACGATGGCCTCTACAAAATCTTGTTCCATGTTTTGTTGTAGAGGTCCTCATTGCAAAATCTTACTTCAAAGTATTTGCTTTGTTGATGCAAATCTTATTATCTTTAGTGAGCATACGTAACCTTACAGAACGGTTACCCGTTCAACATACATGACCACGGTCGAAAGGGATGTGTGGAGGTCCTTCCAGTGAGTGGAGGGAAACCGGCTGGAAACGGGGCTTATTTTGAGTTGGTTTGAAGCCTATACACTGAATTATACCGGTGATACCAGCTGGTGCTAGGGACAAACGCATCTGTACAGCGACGTGTTTGTTGTTGTCAGGGTCCTTAAATGCAACATCTCTTTTTTGTGATGAAGGTTCTTAGCGTGTAATGGCATTTCCCCTGTTCCTTCATGCGACTCGCCGAATACCTCACGGTGCTTCGCGCTTGGTGATGTGAGAGCCTGGTCCGGCGAGAACCCGGCGTGCTCCGTCCCTGCTTCGTAAGGATGCGAGGTCAATGGTCTAACGACTACGGCATGCACGACAATGAGGATACACACACACCCCTGTTCCGCGCGCGTGCTTCCCTCCGTGCACAAGCAGCGGCCCGCCCGGCGAGGATGGAGGCAACGAGCAGACGATCACGATAACCATGTACAACGGAGGCTTCACCGTAGACGACGGCCCCTTCCGGCGATTAGACGACCCGGCGAACAAGGACTTCTTGAAGGACCTCGCCTCGGGGTAATTGATTTGCCCCGCGCCTCGGCGTTTGTAGTTTATTTAATCGAATGACGTCACCCCCCCCCCCCCCCC